CCGAGCTGTCAGCACAGAGCCCGACGCGGGGCTCAAACTCACGGAGTGTGAGATCATGACCTGAGCTGAAGTCGGACACCGACTGAGCCACCCAGGCACCCCTAGAAGTTTTAATCTAAGAAATCTTTGCCTAACGCAACGTCTGTTAACTATTCTCTTGTTTTCTTCTAGAAATTTTGTTTTAGCTGTCACACTTAAAAAGACTTTTTTTTTTTTTTAACATTTATTTATTTTTGAGAGACAGAGAGAGAGTGCAAGTGAGGGAGGGGCAGACAGAGAGGGAGACAGAATCTGAAGCAGGCTCCTGGCTCTGAACTGTCAGCCCAGAGCCCAACATGGAGCTCTGACTCATGAAGGGCAAGATCATGACCTGAGCTGAAGTTGCACACTTAACCACTAAGCCACCCGGGTGCCCCTTGGCTGTCACATTTAAGTCTATGATCTTTTTGAGTTAATTTTCTGTATATGGTATGACTTGAAGGTCATACCATAAGTTCACCTTTTTGTGTGTGGATAATCAGTCGTCCCAACACATTTGTTGAACAGACTATCCTTTCCCCCCAATGAATTGCCTTAGCACCTTTGTCAAATATCAATTAAATATAAACATAAGGATTTATTTCTGGACTCTCAGTTCTGATCTATTAATCTCTATGTCAATCCTTATGCCAGTACCACTGCTGAGGAGATCTTAATATGGAAAATTATTAATACATTCTGCAAGCTAATGACTCCTCAGAACTTGAGAATGGCAACTCCAGAAAGTGGGACTCAGACAAGTATTCTTATACATGGTTCAGAAACAGCACAATAAGCTTTTAATAAGGCATGTTGGCTTGAGGTGATACCGATCTTAAATTTCACTCATTCTTTTTTTTTTTTAAGATTTATTTATTTATTTATTATTATTATTTTTTTTCAACGTTATTTTATTTTTGGGACAGAGAGAGACAGAGCATGAACGGGGGAGGAGCAGAGAGAGAGGGAGATGCAGAATCGGAAACAGGCTCCAGGCTCTGAGCCATCAGCCCAGAGCCCGATGCGGGGCTCAAACTCACGGACCGCGAGATCGTGACCTGGCTGAAGTCGGACGCTTAACCGACTGCGCCACCCAGGCGCCCCAAGATTTATTTATTTTTAAGAGAGAGCTCAAGCAGGAAAGGGACAGAGAGAGGGGGGGACAGAAGAGCTGAAACAGTCTCCACACTAACACCAGTGAGCCCAATGCGGGGCTTGAACTCATGAGTGGTGAGATCACAACCTGAGCCTAAGTCAGATGCTCAACCAACTGAGCCACCCAGGTGCCCCAAATTTCACTCATTCTAACACATCTATATGTAAGTTGCATTTGTAAATAGTATCATTGGTTCCATATTAAATGTAATACATCAGTTGGCCTTGTTTGCAAGACTATCTAGGATGGTGGCCAGTGGAACGCTCCATTTTTCATGTTGATGTAGTTCTTTGCATAGGGTTCAAAGGGCTGGTTCTCTTTCTTACCTGAATCAAGCTGAAAAATTAAATTTGTAACCACGACCATGCCAGAAACATAAACTGACCATAACATTACAAGTTGGTAGGTCTTTTGACAAACATTCTGCTCCCCCTCTCCTTCCAAGAACTTGTTAGCATTGTATTTTCCTCGCCTCCTGGAAGTTAGTCATGGCAATGACTTGATGTGGCCATCAAAATTAGTGATGGGTGGAAGTTTTGTAAGCCTGTAGAGAATTCACCAAGCTTCCTATTCCTGTCTCATGGAAGTGTACGATGAGATGGAGCCTCCCTCAACCTTGGGAATCCCTGAGTGCCATGCAGAAATCCCCCCCACCCCAATGCTGCTTAACCCACATTAAACTCTGTGGCTTGAATAAGAAATGTTAGTTGTGCCAGGGAGATATTTGAGATGTTACTGTAACATAGCCTAGCTTATTATTTTTTTAACCTAGCTTATTATAACTGCTACAAGCTATGCTTAATGTGAAAACACTGCCTAAAAGTCTGTCAAATTGTTGGTTTGGAACCTGATCTAGGAGCTAGGTTTGGGTTCCATTCCTGGCTCTGCTAGACCAGCTCAAGCGCACAAGTCTGGTTAAGCATGAGGTCCATTATCCCTTCAAGATACACATATTTACCCAGTCTGCAGGGGAAAGAATTTATTCTCAAGAGTCAGATTGCCTGAGTTGGAATCTCAGCTTTTATGCAGGGGACAGTTTTAGCCATATTTCTTAATTTATGTGGACATTTCCACATATGTACAAAGCACACAACAGTCTATATACCCTTTGGAATAAATGTAAAGCATTTAGGATAGTGCCTGGTAGATAGTGCTTTGTGGGTGTTAGCTGTTGGTGAGGAATGGCTCTTGCTGAACCTCTTCACCTCTACTCAGCCATACATCCAGAACATGCCAGGCACACCCATTCCTCTCTCTTCTATTGGAGAGCTGAGCGAGGAGCACCATTTTACCTCTCTTTCAACAATGTATCAGAGTTCCAATTTC